CCCAACCAGGGGGAGAAAGAGTCATGAATTTCTTTGTGAAGGGCTAGAATCTGTGAGTAATTGTCTTCTATGTATGTAGGGGAAATCAGAGGGATTTTTTTTTTTTTTCGCCGCACCACACAGCATGCGGGATGTTAGTTCCCCGACCAGGGATGGAAGCCATGCCCCTTGCAGTGAAAGCGCCGAGTCCTAGCCACTGGACCACCAGGGAAGTCCAAAAGCAGAGGGATTTAAACTCAGGAACAGATGAGTAAACACATACGCTCATCATGAATACGATTTAGGGAATCCCCTGGCGGTCCAGTGGCTAGGACTCGGTGCTTTCACTGTCATGGCCTGGGTTCGATCCCTGGTTGGGGAACTAAGATCCCACATGCCGCAGGGCATGGCTAAATAAATAAATAAATACAATGTAAAGCAATCCATTTATTTCCCACCAAATTTACCTGTTCAGTTTACTCAATAAATACCTAAACACCTCTGTCTGTAAGATATTGTGAGGAATAGACGGATTAATCAGAATGATTCCTGCCCTGAGGGTGCCGCTGGAGAGTCCGGAATACATGACAGCTACACAAATAACTACGCAATGAGACAAATTCTGCTAAGATCATCTCAAAGGTCTAGAGTTAGGCGGGCGGAGCAAAGACTGAGGGAGACTGGGGAATAGGAACTCTGCAAAAGGGCAAGAAGGAGGGACGCATCAGGCAGAGGACAGACGCTCTTTGAGGCCAGACACGCAGGCAGGAAATTGCAGGGACTTGGTTTGTTTGAACTGAGAGCACAGCTTCAGGGGTGGTGGGTTCGGGCTGTGAAAAGCCTCATCAAGGATTCAGGAAATGCAGGGGATGCTGGGGCGCCAGTGAGGCGTGTGGGCAGGAAGGGGCGGTGGCCAGAGAAGTATTTTAGGGAGGGGAGGCTGGCAATGGCCAGTGGAATGAAAGGAAAGAAGGATTAAAGGGAGGAAGACTAGGGACTTCCCTGGTGGTCCAGTGGGTAAGACTCCAAGCTCCCAATGCAGGGGGCCCAGGTTCCATCCCTGGTTGGGGAACTAGATCCCGCATGCCGCAACTAAAGATCCCACGTGCCGCAACTAAGACCCTGCACAGCCTAAATAAACTAATTAATTAATAATAAGGGAAGGAAGACTAGTTAGGGACCAATAACACAGAGTCCAAGCGTGAGGTGACAGAGTGAGAGTGTCCATTGGGAATTCACAGGACGGGGTGGGTGGTAAAATCTCCCCTCCGGCCCTCCCCCTCCCTTCACTCTTTCCACTGCGCAGGAGAGGGAGCAGGGCTGCAGAGAGAAACACCGGCAAGCTTTGCACTGAAGGCTTCGAGAGCAAAGAAATTTACTAGCTGGAGCTACCAACCTGGCCTTGGAGGTCCCTCACTCCTGTCCCATACCCACTCCCCTCCCCTGATTAGGCCCAGAGGCTGATGTAAACCCAAGAGATCTATAGTTTCTGGCTATCAGTGCAGCCTGGCTGCTCAGGACTCCAGACAAGAGCAAAACTCCCTCCTGTGGGCCACAGATGGGCAATAAAATGTATCTCTTCGGGCTACATCGAAATCCTCAGTAAATTTATGGAGATTCCCACTGGTTTGTGATAAAAGAGCTTTCTCCCCACTCTGTGCTCTGTGGTCACTGCACGGCTGGGTTTTGTGCGCTCAAATCTACAAAGGCTCCACATTTCTGGAAGGACTGCCTAGTTGACATGTATAAAGAACACTGTCTCACCCACTTGTCTCTGGGAATTTATCTAATGATTCTTTTTCCATTCCTTTGCTCCATCTTGTTTTGATTCAGAGAAATCTACGTGGTAGAACATACTAGATAAAGACCACCAAGGCCAGCTTCTGGTTCTACTTGTCTCTAACTAGCTGGATGATGTTTTCTTGTTTTAATTTTTATTCATTTATTTGTTTATTCTTTGGCTGCATTGGGTCTCTGTTGCTGCGCGCAGGCTTTCTCTAGTTGCAGCGAGCGGGGGCTACTCTTCATTGCGGTGTGCGGACTTACTGCGGTGGCTTCTCTTGTTGAGGAGCACGGGCTCTAGGTGCATGGGCTTCAGTAGTTGTGGCACGTGGGCTCTAGAGCGCAGGCTCAGTAGTTGTGACACACGGGCTTAGTTGCTCCGCGGCATGCGGGATCTTCCCAGACCAGGGCTCGAACCCCTGTCCCCTGCATTGGCGGGCGGATTCTTAACCACTGCACCACCAGGGAGGTCCCTCTAGCTGGATGATTTTAAGTAAGATCTGAGCCTTGGGGACCTTATCTGTTCTATCGGGAGTATGACCTGATACTCTTGCGTGTTCCTTACAGTAATAATATCTTATGGTTCTCCCCCATTTTCCCACAAGGGATTCTCTACCCAGCCAGGCTCTGTACCTTGAGTGATTCCCTCTTGAGAATAAGCTATGTTCTCCACACCATAGTTCTGTTTCATGAGCTGAGGTTTACAGAAAGCATCCTCCACAGGGTAATCCATGGGGTTCCGTTGCTTTGTGAGCAGCTGAAGCTCGGGTGCAATATAAGCCAGCAGGAAAACCCAGCCGTTGGCCACCAAGGCTGAACTGAGGATGGTGTCATCCCACTGGGGGCCGGGGGTAGGAACAAAGAGCAGGGTGATCCACGTCACCCAGATGGCAATGGAGAGGAACGTGGTGAGGTAGATGTGGGCCCCGTGTCTCTTCCAGCCAGTGAAGGGTCCCCGAAAGGTGAAAGAGGCCGTGAAAAAGGCCAGCGTCATGAGGAGGAAAACGTAGGTGAGCAGCAGGACAAAGTCCTCGTTGCGCCGAGGAGGAGAAAGCTCGGAGAAGATGTTGACGTTGGTCCTGTTCATGGTGAGGACCACATACTCGATGGCGATGACATCCTGCACCAGGCTGAAGCCCAGGGCCAGGCCCAGCATCGCCAGCATGGAGAGGGGCTGCCTCCCTTGGACCAGCTTCGTCAGGTTGAAGGCGTGAACCAGGAGGCAGGAGAAGCAGAGGGCGAAGAGGATGCCGAAGAGGAAGAAACGTGTGGGCCCCGTGCTGCCGTCAAGGCTGATGATGAAGGCGAAGGGGAGGCCAAAGATCCCCAGCACACCCAGGAGAAAGAGGAACTGGGTGGGGAGCACTTTGCGCCTGTTGGAGTCCTGCACCTTGCAGATGAAAACCAGGAGGGCGATCATGAAGGCCACCGAGGTCACAGCGCCCGCCGACGCCAAGGCCTCTAAGACGATGCCCCAGGCCGCCTTCTTATCGCAGAGCCTGTAGTACCTGGGGTCCAGGTTCGAGCGGCAACCATCGGGGGCACCTGTGACCATTCTCGTCCTGCAAGAAAGCAAAGTTGCAGGTGGGGGTGAATCTCCCCACAAACTCAGGCACAGAGGACCAAAAACGATTCGGAAACTATTTTGTATAGTTAGCCAGGGTTTTGCCCCTGAACTTAAACGTTAGAGCAAGCTACTAGCTGTTCTCCACCTCTCATGGCAAACTCTAAAGGCTGATGAAGGGAAGAAACAATCTCATACCTTCCTCCCCGCAATTTGACTATATTAATATTTACCCTGAAGCCAGAGGGCCCAGGGCTCTGATGAGGTGTTTCAGAGTCACATCTCAAAAAATACATCACAAATAACTTGCCAGGCAGGCTTCCTGATATGTTTGGCTAGTGTTTCCTTAGAAATTGGTGAACATGGAAATATGTAACCATAAAGTTAACACTTTGGGAATTCCCTGGCGGTCCAGTGGTTAGCACTCAGTGCTCTCACTGGTGGGGTCCGGGTTGGATCCCTGGTCAGGCAACTAAGATTCCACAAGCAGGGCAGTGTGGCCAAAAAATTTTAAAAGTAAACACTTTAAACGTAATTTGTCAGTCTCCAGTTTTTTGCCACCTTGGGCCCAGCCTCAGATATTTGTAAGCATCCCATTCTCACTTCTCATATATATATTTATTAGTTTAATTTGATAGCAATCCTATAAGGTAAAAATGATTATCCCTATTTGACAGATGAGGAAACTGAGGCAGGGAGAGATCAAGTTACTTGCCCAACATCACACAGCCAGGAAATGGCAGACGCAGGATTTGAATCCAGGTTACCTGGCTCTAGGTGAGGATCCCTGGTCTTAACTACTATAGGTGCTACCGCTCCAGGGAGTTCTAATTGGCCTTAGAATGCGATCTGAGATATTCCCTCCCCCTTCTTTCCCTCATCAGATGCCCCATAAACCAGCTATTTGTGGTCCTAATTCTACTCTCTTAGTTCAGCCCCACCAAGGATAGTTGCTCCCAGGTGACAGATGATCCACAAAGCAGGTAATCTACTCACCCACTCAGGGATAATCAGAAATCGACTTGAGGTAGAGCAGCTTACTTCCTATACATCTGTCCTTAATCTCCCAGATCTGCTGCCTTTTTTCCTTCCACAACCTCCATGTCAATTTTAGAGCCAGCTGATTTCCCAAACCCCATGAAATCGAATTCCTAGGGATTCAGGGCACACGTGGGAGGATGAGTTGGGAAATGGGAAGGGAAAGTAGTTTGTATATTTCCTCAAAATGAATGATTCTCAAATTCCAAAGCCAGTGTCAGATAAGATGTTGAAATTCAGGACCGCTGTGGTTTTAACAGCTTCTCAACAAAACTATAATTTTTTTCTGAATTATGCTACTGTTTATAAGTTTCTATGGCACGATTCTTTTTGATTTGTTGTATACTATTTATGCATGTAATCTTTTTTTTTTTCTAGTTTTTCTTTTTCTGATAGGATTGGTCACTCAACAGAAAAATCTTTTGAATTGACTAGAAGAAGACAAATATTGGGGGGGTGGGGAGCGGGGGCAGAGTTAAAAGAAGGGAAGGCTCATTGAGACCCCCTCCATAGAAAAGCACAAGTGAAAGCTCTTGGCCTCTCCTAGTGCCAAATTGGGAGAAAATATGCATAAAGAAATCAGCAAGAAGAAGACAGCTAGGATTGAGAAGCAGGAGAAAGCAAAAAATATCCAGAGTCCTGCCTCTTTCCTTATAGCAGAAAAAACAGCTCAGAATTTCTGCACCACATACCCATAAATGCTTATAAACAAGATTTCTCGGGCCCTTCACAGCACTGTAGGGGTGCTGTGATCAACCCAAGACGAAAAAGAACGCCCTCCCCTCCCCTTCCATCCTGTCTCTTCAAAACCAAATCACAAAATATGACACAAATGAACTTATCCATGAAACAGAAACAGACATAAAGAACAGACTTGTGGTTGCCAAGAGGGAGGGGGTGGGGAAGGGATGGATTGGGAGTTTGGGTTAGCTGATGTAAACTATTATATGTAAAATGGATAAACAAGGCCCTACTGCATAACACAGGGAACTATATTCAATATCCTGTAATAAATCACAGTGGAAAAGAATTTTTTTTAAAAAGATCAAGGACTTCCCTGGTGGCACAGTGGTTAAGAATCTGCCTGCCAATGCAGGGGACACGGGTTCGATCCCTGGTCCGGGAAGATCCCACATGCCGCGGAGCAACTAATCCCGTGTGCCACAACTATTGAGCCTGCGTTCTAGAGCCCATAAGTCACAACTACTGAAACCCGTGCGCCTAGAGCCCGTGGTCCACAACAAGAGAAGCCTGTGCACTGCAACGAAGACCCAACGAAGTCAAAAATAAATAAATAAATTTATTTTAAAAAAAAGATCAAATCACAAGACGGAACACAGCGAGGTGGGACACATAATGAGCAATTGCTGGCTGACTCTGAAGAGCAAACAAGCATCCTCCTCCACACAGACAGAATTCAAACACCTGCTTCCCTTAAAGATGCAAAATATGGACTTCCCTGATGGTCCAGTGGGTAAGACTCCACTCTCCCAATGCAGGGGTCCCGGGTTCAATCCCTGGTCGAGCAACTAGATCCCACATGCCACAACTAAGAGCTCACATGCAGCAACTAAGAGTTCCCATGCCACCAGCGAAGATCCCACGTGCTGCAACTAAGACCCGGCTCAGCCAAAATAAATAAATACATTTTAAAATAATAATAATAAATAAATAAAGATGCAAAATCATCTCTTCAGTTCAACGAGATAGTTGTGTCCCAGCATTTTTTTATTCCCATAGCCATTAGGAAAAAATTATATATATGTATATGCCATATAACACATACATACATATATGAATGACTATTATGTAGATGCAAGAATTTTATATGTGTGGTGTGTTCGAATAAAATAAATAACTTAAATAATTGATGGCTTAAGTCCATCTTCCATACTTTGTAATGAAATTTGCCTCTCCAAGGTTAACTTTTTTTTTTTTTTGGGCCACGCTGGGTGGCATGCAGGATCTTAGTTCCCCGACCAGGGATCAAACTCGTGTACCCTGGAGGGGAAGCGCGAAGTCTTAACCACCGGACCTCCAGGGAAGTCCCTGCAAGCTTCACTTTGCAACAGAGCCATTCATTCAACCAGCACCACTATGTGTCAATCATGTCAATCACTATTCTAGATGCTCAGTGGTAAAGGGGAAAACAGACATCAGACACAATCCTTGCTGTAGTAGAAGAAATGGACAGATGGACATAATCTGCCACCAGTGCCACGACCCCGGCCAGGGGTCTGTCACCTGCAGTCCACTCCAGGGAAATGACACCCTGGTCATCCCGACTGCATGCAGAGCACAGAGCAAAGAGTGGGTTACGTTCCACCTCCCCAGGGCAGTGCAGAATGAGACACAGGAGGAAAAAGAAAGGCAAATGCACTTCAGATACAGGCAACCCCTGAAATACAAGGCCCCCCAAAGTCTGATACACTTGGCCCTGGGTGGAACCGGACAGGGAGAGGGGACACGCCCCCTTGTCTATGCTGAGGAGGCAGAAGAGGAAGAGCTGGGATTAATTCAAGGGCAGCGTCATAGGGGAAGGGACCAGGATCCAGCATTCTCTTCATTCACCACCTCCCCACCTCACTCCCTCTCAGATGAATCATAAGGGCAGTGTCCAGCTGGAAAGGTATGTCTCTCACCTCCCTGCCCTTCCCTGGAAACTGCTCCTTCCCCACCCCTCAGGGCAGTGCTGTTTGTTGACAGGTACTGGTTATCATAATCACCTGATAATTATAAAGGAATCTGAACCTGATGACTGTCAGTCTTGAGAGACTGATGAGGTTTTCACCTAAAGGAAGCTTCTGGTGCTGCATAGAGGGATGGTAGGGCAGAGACTTCCTGCTCCCAACTTGGACCTCTAGGCCCCTCTCATCTGTGCAGCTGTGCAGGAAGGGTTTGTGTCTTGGGGCCTCCTGACTGCCCACAGACCAGGGTCCGACACCATAAGCACATAAGGTAAGGGGTCCCTGGAGAAAGAGAACCAGGCATGGCTTTCTTGACATGAGAGAAGCCATTTTTGGCCTAAGTTGTTTTGTGATCTAAGCCTGGTCACAGTGCTTGCCCATGAACAGGTTTCAGAAATTAATGATCTTTTTTTTTTTTTTAAGATTTTTTTTTTTGATGTGGACCATTTTTTTTAAAGTCTTTATTGAATTTGTTACAATATTGCTTCTGTTTTATGTTTTGGTTTTTTGGCCAGGAGGCATGTGGGATCTTAGCTCCCCGACCAGGTATCAAACCCGCACCCACTGCATTGGAAGACGAAGTCTTAACCACTGGACCACCAGGGAAGTCCCAGCAATTAATGATCTTAAGGGAACAAAAGAATGCAGAAATAAGCAACCATGATCAGGCAAGAGAAGTACCAACAGCAAAGATAATAGATCAGTTGTAAAGACTCCCAGCTCTGCTCAAAGATTAGCCTGAAGCGCTCAACCACCAGATCAACTGGAGTCTAAGGGGTGACAGTGTTGACCTTTTCTGACCCTCATGGCTTCAGTCAACAAAAGCTTGGACTCTGTGGATGCCCAAGCCCCTTCATGAATATGCATGGAGGCTTAGCTTGAAAATTCCCCAATTTTGCCATTTGGGGAGACACTGCTTTGAGCAAGATCCCCAGTGTTCTCCTTACCTGCTGCAAATAATAATAAATCCTTCCTTCTCCAGATCTTTGGCTTGGTTGTGTCTTTTGGCTCAACACTCACTAAGAAGTGAATCCAGTTTTCCAAGTAACACCACGAGCAATTGACAGTGGGTATGTAGAGAAGAACCCCACTTCCCCCAATTTCACCTCCACCTCCCACCCCCAATCATGCAAGGGAGATGAAGAAACAGTCCCTGAATTACCTTTAAAATGCTTTTTTTACACTAAAAATAGAAATATCATATGACCCAGCAATCCCAATACTGGGCATATACCCTGAGAAAACCATAATTCAGAAAGAGTCATG